CTAGAGGGTTCTGGGCACTAGGTAAAGGGAACTGAGGCTCTGGTTGTATTTTCATCAATTCTTCTGGTCAAGGATAAAGACCCAAGCAGAAGCAGGCATCCTGGAAATCAACATGCAACTGCACACATGGTATCATCTGCAGCACTTTGGCTTTTTGATCATGGAACGATATTCCAAGGATTGGTGGGCAGAGACACAGTCTAGCTGTTGGAGCAAGGGAAGAGTGTCTTTGCACACTCTTTAAACAAGCACAGGTTTGTTAAAACCTAACAAGATGGGATATAGCTAGGTAACACAGGAGACTGGAGATAAAGAGTCAGGTGACCAAATAAAGACCAAGAAAGGGGAGGCAACAAGGGGAATCAACTATGTTCTAAGATGGAAATTAGCAGGATAACTGGCTAGTCATTTGAGATGTTCATAAGCTAAACATGGGGTATAAACAGGAAAAACTGGAAGTCCTAGCACAATCCTACAAGTATGAAGTCATTGAGTAACAAACTTGGCAGCATAGTTTACATGCCTGGAATACTGTCACAGATAAATATAACTTGTTCAGAAAGGACAGGCCACATTAAAGGAGACGGTGTCTCAGCATGTTATATCACACACACACACCCACACACTGATTCTGAGGTACAGTATAAAGTTGGATGCAGAACTGTTGAAAGTCTCTAGGTCAAAGTAAGAAGGGAAAAACAGCAAGGAAGATGTCATGGTGGGTATCTGCTATACACAAACAAACCAGAAGGTCGAAGTGGACAAAGTTTTTGTTTCCGATAGCTAAAACAAAACATCTATATTGCAGGACCTGGTGCTGATGGGGGACATCAATTACCATAACACTTGTTGGAAAGATTAAGTCAAATTCATAGATGCTAGGGTTGGAAGGGACCTCAGAGGATCATGGAGTCTGATCCCCTGCCAGTGGTAGGAAAAAGTGCTGGGGTCATGTGACCCCAGCTAGGTGCTTGTCCCGTCTCCTCTTGAAGACCCCCAAGGTAGGGGACAGCACCACCTCCACTGAAGCCCATAAAGGGTTATATCTCTATACAAAGATAGATAGATTTTTTTGGTGCAGATCATGGAGCAGCTCTCTAATTTGCTGTTTGTCGGTAGGGTGGATTTGGTTAATGGCTGTTTGTCAGTAGGGTGGATTTGGTGGATCTGAAGGTGAATGGCAATTTCAGTAACAGTGGCCATGAAATGATGAGAGCTCAAGATCCTAAGGAAAAGAAAGGAAGAACCAGAATAAAAAGACCCTGGATTTCAGAAAAGCAAACCAACAGATTCTGGGAACTGGTGGGCAGGCAAGTATCAAAAGAAAAGGAATCCAGAGGAAACCACTGTCTCTTTAAAGTAGAATACTAAAGAAGCAAAAGCATGCTATCCCAGTGCAAAGGAAAGATAAGTGCACCATGAGATCAGCCTGGCTAACCAGCAAACTCTTCAATGAGCTGAAACTCACGGAGGAATTTTACAAAAAGTGGAGACTTGTCCATATTATTAGGGATAAGTATAAGACTACCACATAAGCATGCAGAGAGAACACCCAACAAGTAGGGCAACAAAAAAAAACACTTAAAAGTATCACATTCACTCAAATACAAGACAATGCTGAATATAATATGGAAATTGTATAAGCTTATTATAATTTTTTCAGGAACAGAATCTAATTATTGGAAGTTTTTCCCTGAATTTGTCTCCCTCTCACTGCTACAGCAGGGAAAATAAGTCAGGGGGGAGGTCAAGTAGCCACCTTGCCCTCTGCCCAAATTTCTTCCCCCTGCATCCCCTTCTCCCCTCTCCTTACTGTCAGACCCTACTCTCCCTAAAAACTTGGAAGTGAGAGGCAGATCTGAAAACAGTACTTTTGAAATAAACATATAGGCCAGGGGTGGGGAAAATGCAGCCCGCAGGCCACATGCAGCCCACCAGGACATTCTATCTGGCCCATGGGCCCCTTAAAACATTTAGAAAATTAGTATTTATCTTCCCCTGGCTGCCTGTCATGCGGCCCTCAACAGCTTGCCAAAACTGAGTAAGGGGCCCATGGGCAAGATCATCATAATGGTCACAAGCTGGCAGAGGGTAGATTTAGGCTAGATATCAGGAGGCGCTACTTCACAGTCAGGGTGGCTAGGATCTGGAACCAACTTCCAAGAGAAGTGATGTTGGCTCCTACCCTGGGGGTCTTTAAGAGGAGGCTGGATGAACACCTTGCTGGGGTCATTTGACCCCAGTACCCTTTCCTGCCATGGCAGGGGGTCAGACTTGATGATCTGCTCAGGTCCCTTCCAACCCTACAAACTGTGAAACATCTAGCATGTATTTGTCAAGGGTAAGCCATGCTTAAGCAAGCCGATTTCCTCCTATGACAAGGCAATAGGATCTGTGCCTCTCAAGTCTCCAACGATGTTCTCATCAATAAACTAAGAAAATACAAGCTGCATGGAAGTGCTATAAGCTGGATACTTAACAGGTTGGACAACTGTACTCAAAGAGTAGCTCAATGTTTAATTGATAGGAGGTATGGAATAAAGTTATCCCAAGGTTCTATCCTAGGTCTGGTTTTGCTTAATAACTTCATTCACGTTTGAAGCATGGGACTGAGAAGGAAAAAAAAAAGTCAACAGGATACTGGAAAGCATTAATAGGAACGTAACTTGCAAATCAAGGGAAGTGATTCTTTCATTCTGTTCAACACTGGTAAAGCCTCATATCTAGAGTCCTGCATCCAGTTTTGAGCACGACACTTCAAAGGACATGGACAATTGGAAAAAATCCAGCGGAGCACAACAAAAATTATCAGAGATCCAGGAACCATCACTTATTATAAGAAGGTTGGAAGAACTGGGATTGTTTAGTCAGCAGAAAGGAATGCGGGAGAGGTCTGGTAACAGTTTTCAAATACCTAAAGGGTGGTTATTTGAAAGATGATGATAGACTATTATAGCCACAAGGTACTGGACAAGAGGCAGCAGTTTTAAAACTGCAAGAAGGAAAGTGTAGGTTGGATAGTAGGACAAAATACGTAACTATGAGGGCAATTAAGTAATGGAACAGATTACCTAAAGAGGTTATGGAATCCATGGAAGCTTTGGAAAACAGGTTAGAAATACTGTGGTTTAGACAGGGATGATCCTGTTTGGATCAAGGGGTTGAACTAGATGACCTCCCAAGGTCCTTTCCATCCGTAAACAATTCTACTGTATACAGAAATAACTCTCGGATTTTCAAGTATTACCCATTTCCTACTCTAAATACCCTCTCCCTGCTTCCAGTGAAAATATGTTAGATATTAGCAACTTCATGAAGTCATTAACAACATACAAGTTCTTGGCGTTTGTTTTTGTTTGGGGGGGGGGGTTGGGGGGCGGGAGGAAATGTGCAATTTAGACAGAATTGAGTGGCACAAGAGTGTAATGAATTAGCTATGCCAACACTGAAAATCTGGGCTTGATACCAATGTTAAAGCAACCCGATATACAAACCTGTAACAAAACCACAAAACACACCAATTACTATTAACCATAAAAGAAATCTAGTTAGCCTGTATCAGTACCTAAAGGCAGAAGAGAGATATGAATTGAGCTAATGATACTGAAGTAGTAAATGCATTAAGTTTGCAAGTATACAAAACCACTGGAAGCCAAACTTTAAGAGTTAGAAAACAGAGATCATTATGAAATAGTAAAATGTAGTTCAAACTGTTCTGGTATTTAGATAAAAGTCTAAAATACAGTATTTACTCACATATAACATTCACCTTTCCCCCCAACAATTATCCTTCCAAAACTGAAGTCTATGTCGTTAGTGGGGAAGCTGATTTTTCTGCTCAGAATAGAAGCACTGAGACACTGTAAGAAGGCTGCTGCTTTTTTTCCTTCTCTTCCCTCAAAGAGCTACATGGAGGGAGGGGCAGACTCCAACACGGGCAGATCCAAGGGGTTGCAGTAGTGCAGTCACACCCTGCTTTGATTCTTGCTCCACCCAAAGTTTAAATCCAACTGCCCAGCAGCAGCAATAGCATTTTCCTTTAGGCAGAGCTGACAGAGACAATGGACTTCATGGCTCATCATAATCTACCCAATTCCTATTCATTGCTCTTCACTCCAGATCTTAACAACCCTCTTTCCTTTTTAATGGTCCTGATGTTCCAATAATCAAGCTACCTTTTCTTTGGCAACTTTGCTATCTGTTAGCTACTCCTGACCTCTCTTCCCCGACTTCCTGTCCGGCAGACTGGTTTGAGTTCTTTTCAAAATCCTAGACCTGTCATGCGGATCTGGCCAGTCCCCCAGACTTCTCACACTGTATCACTCTTCACCACCACCTCTGCAACTGGCCACTCTGATATGCAGCCGGAACCCTACTGCCTTTTTTTCTCCCTTTTGTTGGTCTGACACACAGTGAAGAGTTTGGTTAAAGTGTAGACTACTGAACACACGTTCAGGAGAGAGAAGGGAGAGCAGAAACATGAAAACAAACCCAGCCACAGGTCACCCACCTTCTGGGATCCTGAAAGCATGTGCGTAAACTTCTCTCCCAAACGTGAGGCATGCTCCAGGGTGCTCACCCCCACCCATTGGTGTTGGAGCCATATCACTTCAATCCTGAACGTTCTACCTGGAATACTAGAGCACTGTACACAAGGACACCTCTACCCGTGACAATTATGAACCAGTTCTCAGTGATGTTTTAGAATGGTTCAACTGTTAAGTCTGTCCATAACCAAAGAGTTAGTTTTGCGCTCTAATTGTACTTACATGCCTACTGCAGTGGTTTGCTGCTTCTCCCTCACAGACGTACGTGTATGCTGCATCTTGCCACGGTAGGGCCAGACTCACATTAATGGCTGTTTTCCAAATATTAAAAGTATAATTTGCTTTTATATATAGACAAGAAAATATTTTTCTACCTTTATACTTTAGTCTAATGTATCAAACATTTGAAAGTACAATCACCAGCTACAAGTTTATATGATATTCAGAGCTTACCTCTAGGTATATCGATGGTGGGTTATGCTCTCCTCCAAACTTGTCTAGCAGCGCCTCTATGTGTTCTTGTGTCAATTTAATCATCTGTTTGATATTCCATACCTAAAATACAAATGTGTCTATATGTAATTACAAAAGATAATCAAAAGTGTATCTTAAATAACTAGAAAACATGAACTCGCTTATCTTGCAAGTAAGTTTTAAGTTTTTCCTTAAAAGGAAAAAAAATTATAAAATCCACATTTTACTGAATTAATTATAGAGTACACCCTGGACCAAAATGAATTATTCTGGGTTACAAAATTTAACAAACAATGAAAACACTTCAGTCTTGAAGAAGGGAGTTGGTTAAAGTATAGGGTAATGGTTACAAATTATACTTTTTAGAGAAAAAATTACAGGTATGTACATATGTTCTATTAACAGGTATGGGAGCCCAGCTTCTCGGGTTGGAACAGAGCTTCTCAGAGGTTTTAAATAAACTCATATTTTGAGGGAAATATTTCACTAATTCACCAGTAACTACTAAGGACTAAGCCATCCCTAAAATAAATAGAAAGAAGAGTTAGATCTCTTCTAATTCTGTAATAGTTCTGGAACAGAGTCTATAATCTTCACTCTCGCAGCCATAAGACCAAGTTCAAGCAGTAACAGCATGTAAAACAATGCAGAGAACTCTATATGGCTGCCTTCCAAATCCGTATGTAAACTCAGACACTGGCTATAGAGGCCAAATTTTCCCTGAACTCATAAACAAATGTTTTGTTAATAGGACCTTGAAACTGTGGCCTTGCCAAGAAGCAGCAATGATAATGCAACTCTATTTAGACATCTGTCTTGAAAATAGCAAACTTAGTATAAGCAGGTTAAAACAAACAGAACACCAAACAGATATGCTTTGTCATTTGAAGCCTAAAGGAATTTATCAAATAAAAGCATGTAATAAGATCCCGCTGGAATTGGGTGCATGTTTGGGAAGAATATCAAAAGGAGACTTAAGATAGAATTTCAACATTACCTTTGAAAGGCATTTAGTAGAAGTACATACTACTGTACCTTTAGCATACCTAAAACCTTCAAAACAACATACTGGTTACCCACTTCCCAAAACACATTACATTTTAGTGAACATAAGAATCCCAGTCTGTCAGCGTGGCTGGAGACCTTCTCAGCTTTGACCCTACTAAGCTTATGGAGTTGTATTTTCAAAAGTTCGAGTCATTTAATAATTTTCACTGACACTCAATGAAATTTTTATTCAAGTCATTTTAACACTTTTGAAAAAAAATCTATCCATCTTAAGGTAAGGTTTATATCTTAATATCCCTCCCCTACACTAACAATTCAATATATGTCAAGGGTTAGGAGAAACTCTTCCTCCAACTGACACATTGGCTTTCTGCGATAATCCCCATTATAAACATCTTAATTTCTTCACTGGAAGTTGGACAGCTAATGACTTCATTCCTTCCTGCATGGCTATCTTTTATTTTGCACCCAGCAACCAATACTCTGAACTGCAGCTTCTTTTATAAAGCTAGAAAAGTAGAAATGAGAAACATACCAGCTGCTGAAAAGAAAGCACGCAGCCCTTCTAAAAGGGGAGGAAACTATCTGAAAAATTCATAGAGACAAGAGGGAAAGGAACGGTGAGTACGATTTCTAGAATCCCTTCACCAGCTCCAAGACTATGGGAGAAATCAGCTTCACTTTTTTTTTTTTTAAATGGGTGAAGGGAAGTCCTAGAAAGACAAAGTAGCTGTTATGTGTGTTGGTACAAGCAGCAGAAAGGACACAGCAAGTCATCTACTATTCCTCCTCAGCATGAATCATGAACTTGGCCTATTTGTCAGAAGGACTCTGCCAGGGAAGTCATCTTCAATTTACTTTGTTAGTAAGGAACAATAGGTACATGAATTCCTCACCTCTCTAAACCAATGAACAGAAAAAAAAAATATCCATTACTAGTGGACCATTAAGCAAGTTACATAGAACATCAGTAATCTGTTGATCACAGATGAGTCACAAGTATCTGTGGCATGATTCGCTCATGAAAGATCTACCAACTCAGTCTGGGACAACTGTTGTGGCTCTAATAATGTGTAGGCAGAGAATACAATTAAGCTTTTTCTTTGTTGAAAAGTATACTTGGTAGGAGTATTCTGTGGAATACCATCCAATCAATATTCACAGAGTTTCTGATGAGCCATAATTAGCCTACCTGCTTGAATGGACCATTTTTGGGGGGGGGGGGGGGGGGTATCAGGTCACCTATACCAGGTGTACAAAGAGCAATTTTTGAAAACTACGCTTTATACAGATACACTGCATCCCAGTCAGGAAAAATCTAAGATTACTTTAATTTGGACTGAGGGACTCTCAGTTCTCTCTCAACTTCAGTTTGATCCTAAGCAAGCCAGTGCTTTGCAGAGGTTATGAGCCACGCTTGGTTTAAGAATGACTACCACAACTGGTCATAATAACCAGACAGCCTCTTTAAGTGTTGTATGCATAATGCAATTACAACTGGGAACATCAGGGCTATTCTCAAGACTTGGATTCTTTCTAAAATCTGCTGGCTACAGTAACCTCTCTGTTAGGTTGATATGATACCATCAATAGCATCTTGTTAAGAAAGCCTCATGGCCGGACAGGGCTCAGCATGACATATTGCCATGTTACCATCTATGTTGAAAAATCCAACTTTCCAGATGTTTATTTCATAGCTTTCATAGACACTAGGGCTGGAAGGGACCTCAGAAAATCAATGAGTCCAGCCCCTGCCGAAAGGGCAGGAAGTCAGCAGGGGTCATAGGATCCCAGCAAGATAGACATCCAAATGTCTCTTGAAGGCATTCAAGGTAGGTGCTTGAACTACCTCCAGCAGCAGTCTATTCCAAACCTCGGTGGCTTGCACAGGAAAGAAGTTTTTCCTTAGGTCCAGCCTGAAACGGTCACAGAGGAGTTTGCGACAGTTCGATCTTATCATCTGTCTTTAGAAGGAAAACAATTGTCCCCAGCAGTACAACCAAGTGCACTGTCTTCTTCCATTTATCCGAACAAAAATTAAGTCTACAAGCTCCAACAGTTCTGGAGATCTTTCCATCCTGCGAGCTACGTTTTGCTAGAGAAAAAAAAAAGATCCTATTTTTGACCCTTAAAAAAAAAAATCTTTATAAGGCCTGCTTAAGGTTACAGAACACATTGTTGGATAAAAGAACAATTATACAATTGGATACAAACTAGGTAAACACATAATGTGTTGCACCTATTTTCCAGAATAATCAAAATGTAAAACAACCAGAATTATTAGCACTGCCCTATAAGTAACCTATGATGCAACCAGTGATTGGGCCAAATTCTCTCCACATATGTACTGGCAAAAATAGAGAGAGCATAGCAAGTCACCTGACTTAGAAGTAGTTCAATTATTACATATGTGTCATTTGTGCTTCTTCTATGAAAATTACTGCATCCTTTATATACATAATGCCTCTGTCTTTTATGCAGAAGTATAGCTAAATTAAATAAAATGTTTCTGCTTTAATTTAGTGGCATGGGGTCAAGTGTGCGTGTGCGCGCACACACATTTATATACTTATTATATTTTATTTTATTTTTAATTAATTTATTTTTTGCCAGGAGAAATCAGATTTTCTTAATCTGTTTGTTAGGTTATTTAAGCCAAATTCTGTAGCCCCACTAGACCATGTGGAGGGGACCGAATCTTCAACTGAGAGATTTGTAGGAAACCAGTCACCTCTCCTCTGTGAAAAGATCTTTAAAGCATACATCAGCATACACAAGACCAACAACTGAAAGATCAGTTTCGCACCTTAAATATCTTGAGCATTCTATGGTGAAATTCATGTTAACAAATGACAAACAAACATCTGACAAAGTAGGCTGTAGCCTATAAAAGCTCATGACTGTGAATAAGTTAGTCTAAAAAGTGCCACACTGCCCTTCCTTCTGCCTAACTTCAGATTAATATGGTTAACTCTCTCTCTACACCAAGGTCAACAATGCCTGGAGAAACTTCATTTTGGGATGATAATCTAATTAATACTTAAATAAGTCTCTTTTGGGTTCCAAATTTCTTGCATGTTCCACAGAACTGTGAAAGATTGTGTAGAGATTCTAGAAGTCCTGACAAGAGAAATTGGAAGAACCATATATTAACAGGGAACAAGGGCTTTTTCAAACTCAGATGCAGCATGGATATGCTCTACCATGGTTAGAACAACCATCACAACTATCATTTATGTAATCCTTGTCCCTCTAACAATGTACTCATTTATTCCAGGCAGACCCAAAGACTTTCAAAGAGATACTTTTTAACATTGTGTCCACAAGCTTGATTGTTTGTATGTATGCATGCATTAGGCCTGTGCAAAGCAGCTAGTATTCCCTTTAGATTTGGCCAAGTCAGGGAACAGTGATTTGAATCACTGTCCCAAATTGATTCAGCCGAATCCAAATCAAAGATTTGGCTGTCGCCGAATCAAACAGACCCCCCGTCCCCTCCCCGCTATGCCAGCACCATCAATGGCTGCCCCCACCCGGCCCCAGCATCCCAGCTCTTTAAAAAAATAAAATAAAAAGCCCAGTATTTTAAAGCGGAGATCAGGGGGCACTCAGGGGGCTGGGGGAACAGGCAGGGGATGGGGCCTGGCAGGAGTCCCCCCATGGTCCCCTCCCCCCTCCTCTAGCCCTGGCCTGCCCCCTACTTACCAGCATGGAGTCCAGGTAAAGCTCCCTGTGGCTCCTGATTTATTGGTCTCCTGATTCAATTCAGATTCAGCAGCTGAACTGAGCCGAATCACCTCCAAATTGAATCAGCACCCGAAGCTTTGCACAGCCCTAGTATGCATGTAAGTAAGTGTTGGCAGTGGGAGAGGAAAAACATTATCCAACTGTCTTATAAGAAATACTCCATACTTGGTAACCCAAACTGTGTGTCCAATTATCAACATTAATCATATTATCCTTTCAGATGCATTTATTTACAGTTATTTCAAGAGTATTTCCTTACACTACATCAAATACCAAACTGTTTAGAGTCTGACAACTAATCATGGAAAATTACTACAGTATTTAAA